TGCTACTCGATTTTCTGCTGTAGCTTGGCTTATGTGTGCCGCTGCATCATTTGAAATTTTTACATGAACAAATTTCAAGCTATTCTCTGTTGGCGGTAGCGTTCGTGCGGCAGCACTGACGAGGTCCAATTGTGGTGATCGGAAGAAATGTATACGTCTTAATGGACCGAAACATTTCTTACCACTGAATTATAATAATTCCATCAAAATAATTTTACTTCTTTTACTAATTTCTTAATATTATTTTCTCGTCCATTCTCCTTCCTACTTCTTGCTTTGACCGCTGCTTCATCACCACCTGATGGTCGGCTCGCTCTTGACGTTTGTTTCGTCTCCCAAATGAATTTGCAAATCGGCGTTGCTTCCGGCAATATCCCTTGGCAGGGCATTAGAAGCTTCGAGATGCCTTTGATGTGTATGTGTTGAGCATCATCATCACTTCACCCCTATTGCTGGACCAGGAGAGGAAATATTTGACGGGCTAGAGCATTTATGTTTTTCCGCTTCTTCCAGTAAATGATGATATTATCAAATGATGATATTTTCTCAGGTTCCTACGGTAATGTTTATCACATTGCCAGCCGCCGTCGTCCAGGAACGTACTATGCGTTGAAAGAGCTTGCACGGAACAGTGCCCCAAAATACATAGCCACTGAGCTGCGCATAATGCAACGATGCGGTGGTGCGCACAACATAATGCGAATGCATGCCGCCTATCGTGAGAAGGACCGTGTTTTCATCATCATGGATTACTTCGAACATACACCAACCAAGGTAAAAACAGCCCTTCGCCTTTTGGTGTCTTAAGACAGACCGTTCGCGTTTTGATTTATTTCTCATCGCTTTTCCAGTATCGTTTAAAAAGTGCTTGGGGTGCTGCGGTGGATCCCTCGATATATTAGTGAAGTTAGATCAGATTAAGCCTTAAGCCTTAAGGGGCTAATGAAGATTCTTGTGTGAAGTCGCTTTTATGCGATTATTACCCTACTTAGTGGCGAACTTTGTATGATTGCAAATAGTCAAGCAAAATCAACTAGACTGAATCCCCAACGCCCCACTATTCCTATGAGAAAACAAAGAACTTTTCAGTTTCTTTATCTGTTTCGTTGGTAAATTGGTTCTGGTGCATATCGGCGAATCAAATCCGCCGCTGTTAGCAAAGAGACTGTTGAAAGAGGGAGCCATCTACAGTCTTGCCGGCGTCTTTGACTGTGACGTACTTTAAACCCAGGCTGGAACGCGCCAGGCGGGCCGGTGCGATTATGCGTTTTTGCACTTTCCGTGCCGTAGCAAGATCGCAAAGAATCAAAGTAATTAACCCTGTGAAATACTGG